CTTTAATAAGTCAAAGTTCAGGTCCAAACTTACTGATGAGCATCTTCAAGCCATACTGAGGGTCTCAGGTGCTTCATCCCTCAAGCCAAATGTGGCTCAGCTGTGTAAGAGGAAGCACTGCCAGGTCTCTGGCAGCAAAGAGTAGGAGGAAGTAAGAGAAGCCTATGTTCTGAATTATTAGTAGTAATGATTGAGAAGATTGGATCAGTTGTACTTTTTGTGGAATACTTGATGCGGCCCAGCCTCACCCAGACCCTACTTCCAGCGGCCCCCAGGTAAGTTGAGTTTGAGACCCCTGCTCTAGGGTTCATATTCCTTATTATATTATGCATTAATATTGCTGCTGAGCTACCTGACTGTCGAGTCTATCTCCGGCTGTAGTTACCACATATGACCTAGTTTCACAAACAGGGCAGGAGGGGAGAGGAGGAGTGGAGGGAGCAGAGGAGGGGTTACCACATGTATTTGTTTTGATTCTCACTCAACCTCTAAAGGTTGAGCGTTTGAGGGTGAAAGTTAGGTAGAGCGCAGTTAATTCAGGTGCAAGTATTTTAACTTAAGCTATGTATTGTGACAAACAACAGCGAAGTGACAGGAGATTTTATTGTTTGCTGAGAAAGAATGAAAACACTGTGGTGCCAGAATACAATAATACCTGGCTCATCTAATAACATGTTTTGAATGCAATACAATCTCAACAAAATTACATACAGCCATTTTTGTGATGCAAAATATGAGATTCACTTTAGGCTGAAGAAGAATAAACATTATTGATGTAATTAACTGCATGTCAAACCTGAGCAATAACTTACCATTGTGACCCCTAGAACAGCATCGTGGGAGTCACTCTGACTAAACACCGACCATGCAAACAACAATAATGTGGTGACAATGGCTGCGTTGAGGCAGAGGTGATAAATACAATAAAAACTGTGGGTGTATGTGTGTGTGTTAATTATTGCACAGTGATCAAGTAATTAATTGGCTGGCAGTACTGTATGAGTTTCACCTAGAAAGACAGGACACTACCTTTGAGAGCAAAGTTCAAAATGTTTATGAAAAAGTAGGTGAAGACAAAGTTGTTTTTTTAATTATTTAGCTAGAAGTAACTACTGTATATGGTCCAGAGCTACATCACTTTAGTATTTATTTTCTTTGTAAACAATGATAGACATAGCCTTCTTACCTCTGTGACTATTAATAAAGATTTTCTTCTCCCCTGCCACATGTGCGTGGTCATTTCGGTCACCGATGGTCACTGTCAGAGTGCTAGTCACTGTTTTGGCTGGATGGCCGCTGTCGCTCATAATAATAGGAATAAGGAACTCTTTCTGGCGCTCACGGTCAAAAGTCCTTAAGGCTGTCAGTGTCGCTGTGCCATTTAGGTTGTCCTGGAGGTAGAAATCATTGCTGTGGCGATAGTCTGAGGGGAGAGTGAAGTGAAAGGGTGGGCCATTCTCAGGAGAGTCCTGGTCCACAGCTCGGAGGATGGTCGATGTTTGGTTCAGCTTCACTACCTAAAGAAGAAGTGAGAGCATGAAGAGCTGTGGCTTGCTCATGTTTTTTTGTTTTTTTTTTGTTTTGTTTAATATATAACACTAATGAACACTAATTCCCCTTGGCTTTTTCCTAGCTTCATTCAGTGTTACATGAGATGAAACCCAATCAGGCCTACCTGAGGTCCATCCACATTCTCAAAGATTATTGGGGAGTATGCCACCTCAAACTCTGGTCCGTTATCATTCACATCCAACAGAGGCAACTGGACTGTGGCACTGCCTGTTAGAGGTGGAACCCCATGATCAGTTGCTACAACAACCAAGTGATGCTGGGGCATCCTTTCCCGATCCAGGGGCCGGGCCACAGAGAGTACACCAGACTGGTCAATGGTGAACAGCCCCTCAGGATCTGAGTCCTCTAATAAGCTGTAGGTGATGTCACGGTTCTGGCCTGAGTCAGAGTCACTGGCCACTAAATGTGCCACACTGGTTCCCACACTGATGTCCTCAGGCAGTGGGGCGAGAGACAGGAAATGTGGGATGAAGACAGGAGCATGGTCGTTATAGTCTTCCACTTCCACCACACAATGCAGAAGGCTGGAGAAGTCCAGGTCTTCAACCTGAAACAGGAACCACACACGGTCTTAGATGTCATACAAGTGAAACATTTAAATGTGCATGTATTCACAGCCAAATTTTGTCAGTCAAAATAAGGCTGTAATGCTTATAAAGCAAAATACAGTAACTGTGATTGAAATGAACTGTTATTTTTATCCAAATTTGAAATTTGCATAGTGAGCAGCTGGAAACTTCCACCACAAGTGAGTAAAAAATAAAGATGAAAAACAATGTGCCCACACAATGGTGATCAGCCCCATAGCGCATAATGCAATGTCACACCATCAACCTTTGTGTGCAGGAGAATGCCAAGCTGATTATTTATATGGTATTTTGAGTTATTTTCCAATAGCTACCGCTCAATGCCACCAATATGAAAAGCTGCCTTGTGGAGCTTTAAAGTTCCTGTCTGTAAGTGACATATGACACTTTCTGTTTGACTGGCTTTATAGCGATTGCTTGGCCTTGAGATTCTTTGTCTTAGCTCTTGATGGAAGGGCTGACAGGTTGGGCTGTGGGATTTATAAGCACTGAAGAAAAACAAATAACTTTGAGTTTACTGCTTACAAAAATTCAGCTTCAACAATGCTCAAAACTTTTCAGGAACATACAGTATGTGAATACGCTCAAACTTCAAATGCCTACTCACATTTTCAACACTCTTCAACAACAGCTGCAACCACAGCATCATGAATCCTCTGGTTTCTGTCAGTCTCTCAGACTGACTCAGACTCTTCGCACATGCTGCATATATTTCACTGAAATGTTTTTTTTCTTAATTTTTCTTTTTTGGCCAAAACAGAATTAACCCACACATTAGAGAGACAGACAAAAAACAATAGTGCAAGACTGTCCGGTTGAACAAACCTTTTGGAACCACTTTTATATACTGTACCTTCAGGGTGAGATTGAACTTCTGCTCGCTGTGTCGTTCATAATCCAGGCGTTTCTTCAGCCTGAGGGTGCCGCGCTGCTCCTGTTTGTGACTCACCATGTAGAACTTCTGTTCTTGGTCTCCAGCTACAACACTAAAGGTCAGCAGGGCATTTTCTCCTGTGTCTCTGTCCTCTGCAGCAAGCTCCAAGACCTCAAAACAAGCAATAATAGGAATAAAGTGTATTGGCTGTATACTACTGGGGATACTGGTTTTGTACATTTTTGATACATTAACTGAAATCTCTGTAAGATAGTGGTGGATATTTGATAATACACCAGCCACTGGTTTACTTTGGCTGAGGTAGTGTACTGATGGCTTCTGCACCCATGCAGTGTGGTGTTAAGAGCTAAAAATAAACAAGTAAATAAAAAAAATTAAAACAATTTTAAAAATAAAAGGAATAAAAGCTGCACAGAGCAGCAGAGTTAAAAGTGCACTAGAGGAGATTTATTGTGCATATTATTTGTATATGTGAGTTTCAATCTGTCCTGTACTGGGCTAGAAAGACCAAATACAGTAACACAATTGGCAAAAGTATTCCAAAGTCAGAAAAATGCTATAATGTCACTTGATGTACCTTAAGGAAAAAAGACCCAAACACTGAAACTTTGAAAGTTTAACATTATTTAAATTCTTGTAAGGAATACTGAATCTAAGCAATCACATTGGCTACATTCAAAATCAGATGTTGCAGCTTTTCTGATTCTGGTATTGAATTCTGAAGAATATCACCATCCGATACCATTCTCTATTTACATATATGGAGGTAATTTAAAGTAAATGACAAACAGTGAAGCCCCTAGTGACCCACCTCTGCATTGGGCTCTGCATTCTCAGAGATCCTTGCCAGGCAGGAGTGATCAGTGAATCTTGGAGCATGGTCATTCATGTCCTTGATCTGAATGGTAGCAGTTCCAGTTCCTGTCATCCCTCCTCCATCTCTGGCTTCCACAACCAAGAGGTAGGATTCAACCTGCTCTCTGTCCAGACCAGCCATGGCTACAGTGATGGTCCCTGTGGTGGGGTTGATAGTGAACATTTCTGAGAAGGTAGGGACTCGTCCTATCTCAGTGTTAGTAGCATCTAAACTACCCAAAATCCTGTAAGAGAGCACAGCGTTCTGCCCAACAGCTGAGTCATCCAGGTCAGTGGCTGTCATCTCCATCACAGATGTCCCCACTGCTGAGTTCTCCGCCACATCTCCATGGCAACTGGGGACACAGGTGAAAACGGGCGCATTGTCATTGATGTCCCACACATTGATGATGACGTCGGTGAAGCCCGTCAGACCTTCGCCACCCTCGTCTGTGGCCAGGACAACGAAACGCCACACGGCGCGCTCCTCACGGTCCAGGGTCCGCTGGGCGTAGATCTTGCCTGTGACCTCATCAATAATGAATTCGCTCTCTGCACCCTGGCCATGGAGAGAGTAACGCAGGGCCTCCTGGTCAGCATCCTTATCTGGGTCAGATGCTGTTACCTACAGCATAAAGTGGCACAGCAAGACAGAGAGGGTGATGAGAGTGGTTTTACAAGGTTTGTTTTACACTTTAATTATTGAAATGCTGCTGACTTGGAGGGGTATCTTGACTGGAAGCACTTCACAATGGCTCTGTGCAGTTCTGAACTCTCTGCTATGTAAAACTGGCAATGATCCAACCTCTACAGCTCCAGCCTCCACCTCTCCTGCTTCCCTTCTGTTATCTGCCCCTTCTCACTCATCCTCAACACATCAGTAACAATTACACCCTGAGCAGGGCAAAGATGTTTTCATTTAGTAAAGTAATTCCAGAGTGATGTAGAGTCAAAATTAACTGTCTGCCTTTAAAAGAGTAAGAAATGTTCTTACATAGGGATGTAGAGAGGCAAAAGAATCCTATACCTACTATTGATTACTTTAAAACTAAACTGTTGAATATTTTGTCGTGTTGTAAAAGAGCTATGCTTAAAGATAGTGAGGAAATATTATTAATCCAGATAATTGTGCTAAATTGAATGTTAGAATGTTAAACAGAAACAAGAAATTACTTACAGTATAAAATACATAATCTCCCAGTGGACTATATTTGGCTATGGCTCCACAATAATTACTGAATATAAACTAAAATTAAGTTCCAAAAGCAGCTGATGCGAGTGTTGTCATGGCATTCAATAGCCATTATCTCACTGTATAACAGCTATACATATGGCTCAGGAGGAGTCCCTTGTACTTCTCACAAGGCCATGAGATTGTTATCATGTATGTGCATTTGTAGTACTGTTCATAGGTGACCTCAAGTTGCCATAGTCATTATAACACAAATGACGGAATGATTTTTGTGACAGGCTAAATCCCAGTTCCCTTCATTGCATCTACATTTCCCTCACTTGCATCTTTTCCTTGTGTGTTAGTCCCTTCCACAGAAGATGTGAGAAAAAGATGCAAGCAGAAAACATGAGGAGAGAGGAGCTGAGGAAACACGTTTTTAGATAAATGAGACATCCTTTCTGCCAATCCTTCATCTGAAGTATCCAGTCACCATCTGATTTCTGACCAAGGGGCACATACGTTCATAAAAAACTTCCATGAAGAATGCTCTCATGTATCCTTGCTCATGTCTCCTTCAGGCAGCTTACTTTCTCCTTGATTCTCACTCTTAAGAGCAGGAATAGGAGTTGTAGGACATCCTTCAAGATGGCGGACCAGAATAACTTCCATCTTGAGCGAAGATTGAGGAACAAGAAATTATAAAATATGGGAATTTGGATTTACCCATTTTGCATTTACTTTTACATTTTTAATAGTTTTAATATAGCTTTTAGAATTTTTGTAGTTCTAATAAAGATACATTCTGCAAAAACCCTGAATTCAATTGCTAGCAAAAGTCAAAGAAGTAATGTAGATACTGCAAGAAATATGCAGCTCAACATGTTTAAATGTATTTAAAAAATGTTTTGAGATCTTTAATGTGCAGTCAACTGTTTTCCATTCTCACAATGTGTTTTTACCAAGGTGGCTATCCATCTAATTAAGCTAACATTTGTTTCACGAGTTGAAAACTGACTTAATGTGTCAAGCACTTTAAAAAAGAACCCTGTTTGCAGCTTCCTGGTTTTCTGCATAAATTGCTCATGAAATGGCATCTGATCTTCATCAAAGTTGCAAATACAGTATCAACAAACACAATATTTCTAAGCTGATAAAACACAGTCATGATCTTTCATGTCTTTATTGAACACGCCCATTAAACTTACAAAGTGATGGCAGAAAAAGAAATGGCAACACGAGGCCTCTGTTGTCACTACGGGATTATGTAGTGGTGGCTGTATGCAAGCTGAAGCTCAGAGCAAGCTGGGTTATGCAGCAGGACAATGACCCTACACATCGAAATAAATCTACTACAGACAGCCTCAGACAAAGGACTTGTCTCCATACTTGTCCTCTTAGATCTCAGTGCTGCTTTTGGCACCACTGATCACAACATCTTATTACAAAGACTACAACATGTTATTGAGATTAAAGGAACTGCACTAAGTTGGTTCAAATCTTAATTATTAGATAGACCCCAGTTTGCTCATGCTAATGATGACTCTTTCACACAGACTAAAGTTAGTCATAGCGTTCCACAGGGCTCTGTGTTAGGTCCAATTCTCTTCACTTTATACATG